TGTTGACCCAGCACATGGCAACTGTAAAAAAAACAACAAACAAAATTACTTGTTAGGGATCATTAGAAAGGGTTTGAAAATTGGGGTGGGGGATGGGAGGAATGTCAATGTCATAAGGCCGTTATACAAATTATAGTGCATGCAGACTTGGAATACTGCATACAGTTCTGGTTGGCGCACCTCAAAGGGATATTACGCAGCTGGAAATGATTTAGAAAATCCTGCCGGTGGTCATGGAGCTAGAGCAAACTCCCCCACGAGGAGATGTTACAAAATTTTAGTTTAGAGAAAAGGGCCAGGTGGAACATGACCAGGGGTATACAAAATGTGTGCATGGGGTGGTGAAAGCAGATAGGAGTTGTTTCTCCCTCTCTTGTAATACTAGAACCCGGGACCATCCAATGTGGCTGAGCATTGGAAGTGTCAGTATGAAAAGGAAGCACTTTTTGCACAGTGCATAGTTAAATTATGGAATTCACTATCCCCAAATGTAGTAATGGCCACCTCCTTTGATGGCTTTGAAAGAGGGTTAGATAAATTCGTGGAGGATGGAGTTAGCAGTGACCACTAGCCATGCTATCTAGGCACTATGCCCAGTTTTGGAGGCAGCTGCTGGGAAGCAAGTTGGGCTTGGAGGCTTCCCATAGGCTGCTGGCTGGCCACTATAGGAACATAGCCTAGATGGGCTTTGGTCTGGTCCAGGAAAGCTCACCTTATATTCCTAACTAAGGCTTCTTTCATCCATTTGTCGATTCATTCCACATGCATGGAGGGGAGGGAGGGACTGTGCCTCGTGGTCCTGTCCCAGATGTTCCTGCACCCTGCCTGCAACATCCACACATTCCTCAGGATTTTTGCAGACATGTTGCTATGTATGTGCAGTTTATGTAGATAAGTACCTTATGTAGATAAGTTGGGGTGGGGGGAGTACTGCCAGGGAGACACAGCAAGCCACTCATTTATCCTACATGTGGCAGATGCAAGTTAATGGGACCTGAATTCAAGTCAAATCCCATTGCTTTCATTGAGCCTCAGCCATGGCTGGCTAGTTTGATATATTTCCCAGTTCATCCTCTTTATTGTGAACCAAAACATCAGCAAACCACTACTTGTAAGTACTTTTTGGGTGATAGTGATCAGATTATTTCGCTCTTCTCCAGAGCTCCCTGCAAGGGCGTCTGACTTATTGAGCAGTCTGCATTGCTGCATTCCCATTGCTGTCTGATAATGGGATAGGCCATATTTCAAGCGCTCTGGTGTGTTAACCCAGAACAACACTATTCAGTGGCGTTCCCTTTGATTCCTGAAACATCTTGTTCCTTTACTAAGAATGTTAAACTGAAACAGGCCACTGCAGCTACTGTCGATCTTTCAACAGGATGCAATGGAGAAAATGGGGAGAGTTGAGAGAGTTGTGCTGCCAAACCACAAGGATAAAAGGTAATGGAGTCTTGTTTTTATCTTCTTCAGCTTATCGGTGTAAAAGAGCTACACTGTCTACAGTTAAAGCTGTCTCCTCTTGACTTTTTGTGTGGCAGTGGACAGAACTTAACATATTTTCCTTCTTTCTTTGCCTCTCCAGTGGGAAAGATACAGGACTTATCAAAACATGGTGGTCATACAAACTTAAGGAACTACATCAGTTAGATGTGCAAATAACTCTGCCATCTGTACGCTTCAAAGTACAGAAAGTTCTGTTGAGGTGAAACCAAGATATATACAGGCATCCCCCCCCCTTAGGCGTCACACACGACTGTGTATTTGTGTGGTACTGGGAAACAAATAAGTAATTTAATTCAAACCTGGAAATGGCAGGATAGAGCTGGAGAGTCCCCGTGGCTCGCAAGGAGACCCTCCCTGGAGCCCAAAGAGAACTTCAGTGTGGGTGGAGGAAGCCCTGAAGGAGACTAGAGGCACAGAAGGCTTTGTTTAGGCTGCTCAGCTTCCCCGCCTAGCAGCTGACATGCGTGGTAGCACAGCAGCAGCATCCATTTTCAGCACGTCCTCAAGCCTCTAGCTGGCCCAAGCTTCTATTCTAGTTGAAGAGAGAGGCTTTGTAGGGGGTGCTCCCCACTTATTTGATTTTCACTTATGCACATGAGGGCTCAGAACGTAACCCCCACATAAGTGCAGGGGAGGGGATACTTGTATTTAAGCTAGAGCCAAACATAAGGCAGCCAACACAGTGCTTGAAGACCCTAGGTGTGCTTCTTTGCTGTAAAGGTGATAATTTGCAGGGCAGAAGGGGTGAGCAGGTGCTGCTTAACCTCTTCCCTACCCAGTGCTTTTCCTCTGCTGCCCTTCACATTTAGTCACCCGCACCCGCTGCTGTCGCCCCACTTGTTGTATACCCTGATACATATTTACTGCGTCACTTGAGGAAGAGCCACTGGAAGGGGAAGGGACTACATGGAGTAAAGCAGGAAGTAGGGTAATGATTAAGCAAGCAACCTCCTGAGCATAGCCAGGGTGTGCAGATGTGTGTTGGCCACCGTGCGGTAGGTTAAAAAGATCTGAAAGTATAGCAACCTCTACGTATGGTGAAAACTCTACGCCAAGTACTTGGGGATGTTGAGGCAAAGAAAGAAACTGCAGATACTGCAGAAATCTATGTGGCTGTTCAGGAGCTGGCGTTTCCCTAGTGTGGTGCTTCAGTTGCCAGCTAGGAGGTAAATGAGAGGGGGAATTTTTCGGGGGGGGGGGATGCAATTAGGAATGGGATATGAAGAGGCAGCAAACTGGCAAACAGTTCACAGAGCAAATAAGTGCAGAAAGATGTATTCATGGGCCCAAAAGAAGACTAAAAGTTGAGTTAGAGAGGTCAAAGGAGGAGAAAAATCCCTGAATGAAGGAGATGCTATAGGAGGAACTGAAATCTATCACTGCAAAGAACCAAGGTTAAATAATATTGGAAAAACAAAAGATGGCAACTGGGGTGTTTGGGATAAAAGACAGTTGTGAGTGGGTTATTAAAATGCTCATCTGCAGGGCTATTTCAGGGTTACTCATGCACGTACTTTTGTAACACAAGAAAACCTTTAATATATATATTTTTCCTAAGCTGCACAATAGCTTTCATTCTTTCTTAATGCAGCTTTGCTACATTCCTGTGCTATGCCATATTGTGTGCCCCAATCAGATATGAATTACAGCACATGTTGCTTCATAATATAATGCAATGGGGGGAGAGAGAACTTATTCAAGAAGTGCTACAGCACCATCTACGGGCTTAGTGGAAGGTCTACAGATGTCCTAATTGATTCTTCCATTTTTTATTTTGCATTTGGAATGAAGACTTTAATCTGGTTGTAAGTTTTTAGTATAAGAAAATGTAAACTTTAAAATGGAGACAGGGCAAGATGGATCCAGTTTTTAATAATGATAATAATTATTATTCTTAATTAAAGATGTGTTGGAAGTGTTCACAATTTAACCCCCCCCCCTGACTCCCACAAGCTGGGGGAGTGGGCTTGTATTACTATTGTGTATTCAGCACAGCCATTGCTTTAGCAGTCTGATACATTGTCACTTGCCATGGGGGTGCATGTTTAGTGTCAAACTGGGGGTAAAGCTTATGGCCATAGTCAGGCATTTTCTGGGTAAGCTCTCTCAAAGGACACAGGAGCAGCACAAAGACAATTGTGTGCCCTTGCACAAGTCCTCTTCACTTCGGTGAGTGTGACCTGCACAAAAGGGGTCATCGTAGATTCTTATTTTCTTTTTTTTAATTACAAGTACAGTACTTTCCTAGAGTTTCCATTGCTTCAATTTGTGCTTTCCCCACAGATTTTATGACAAGAAGTACCAGGTGTTTCTGAAACTCGTGGAACATCAGCGGGAATATAAAACCATCATGCAGAGTTTGTAGACACCATGAAGGAGAATTACTCATGATGTTGGAAGAGTGGTGGTGTTCCCCCCCCCACACACACATTCTATTTCTTTATTCCTTTATCTAAATCAATGATTATCCATAATGTACTTACATTTCTAATTTTATAAAAATACGTTGAATACTTTATTGCCCGTTGAGCAGGTTCTCCAAGCTACTGCCAAATACCAAATCAAAGAAGGAGCTTTTGCCTCCAGTGAAAGCAAATGACAAATTGCTATGGGATAAGTATCAGATGAAGTCTTACAGTATACAAGAGGCCCCACAGGACATGGAGCCTCTTTTAAAGGATTCACCCTGTATTTTTCCTTCCTACCATCTTAGACTGGGATCAGCTTTCTGCTATAACCCGCCACCATCAACATTTATAGCAAAATTAATCTAGAACTTCCATAAAATTCCTCTCCTTAAATATTTCATGCATTTATTTTAGCTGATCACTAAGAGTTAAAGTCCATTTACACCCTGTGGGTCTAGTTCACATCAAAAGTCAGGATATATACCCTAAGTCCCTAAATAAATTGCCCTCCTCTGTTTTCCTGGGCTCAATCTCCTACTCTATGTCTAACTTTCACCTCTGGGCTTTTCCTTGCACCCCCCCCCATTCTCCCCCAGGTTGCTATTCCCTAGCAACATAAAGGAAGGGTAAGCATTTCAGATAATGAGGTTGCAAAGTAGCCGGTGAATCTTATGGGTAGCCAGAAATAGCACAAATGTCTCTTTCAATTAACTAGATCTCCTTTAAACACTGTTGTCCCAGGCAGCATTTCAACATTCGTGCTCTATAGCACCACCTTGTGGTAGAATGAGGCACAGTTGGATCACAGTCCTTCACCTGCTGCCTCCCCCAGGATATGAAGTCTCTCAAGCAACAAGAAGCAGGAAGCAATTGTTACAGTAGGTGACCGGAAAGATCCTGCCCAGAACAACCAGTCTATGAGTCTCTGTACTCCTGCTGCAAACCTTGTATCTGTAAACACGTATTGCATTTGTTTTTGCTTGCCCTGCACCCATGGATTGTAGCAATCATATCATCAGGGACTTCATAAACAAATAAATATTAGGATGTGTGCACGTGCTAGAAGAAGAAATGCACGACAAGTTTCAGAACACTGTAAACAATAAATCTTTATATGCATGCATTCTTATGCACAGCTAACCCGAATTCCTTTCCACCATGCAAACACGTAACAAGCTACATATAAACTGGATTCATAGTTTATTCATTGGTTATTTATTTATTAGATTTCTATAGCCGCCCACCAATAAATATTCTCCAGGTGGCTTGCAACAATATATTCAAAACACAATATATAATCATAATTTAAAAAGCAAACATAGACAATAAAAGACAGCAAAACAAAAAACAAAACGTCCTTGCGTAAACCTAGTTTTAAAGCCTGGATGTACAACTTCTTTATTCATTCAGGTTTAACTGTACTGACTGCACTGGAGGAGGGAAGGTGCCAGGTAAGCCTCTATGAGGAGGCAATTCCACAGCTGAAGTGTCAGTACCAAAAAAGTCCCTCTCCTTTGTAGTCACCTGCCTTGTCTTCATTGGGAGGCACTTGGGGCAGGAACCTTGAAGGGGATTCTAAGGTTTCCATAGAGATCTCCGAGAGGAGGTAAACTTCCTGGTCATTTTTATTTCCTTTGTATTTATATAGCCCCATCCTGCTCAAGACGTCAGTGCTCATATCAGATAGCATGGATTTTCATTTGGTTTTGTCCTAAGTTACTATAAGGATGTACGGTATATGAAACCTGCTTACAGTACACAAAGCCACCTTGAAACCAAAGCACAACTGGGAGCCTCAGCATAAGGAAGTGACTTTCAAAGAGCATGCTTATTTCTAAAAGACTCAGGTAACGCTGCTCCAAGGTGCCTTTTCTGATCCAGTCTAATACCCTTGTGCCAGTTTTTAGGAGTATTTATTAATGGGTGGCAATATGAGGACTGTTGCAACTATTGGCAAGCATATCCAAACCGTAATCCCTATACATGTATCTGTAATACTGCACATGGCAAAGGATTACCTTAGATCAGTAAGCTGCTGAGTCTGGAGGTCTGTACTGGACCTTCTAGCAGACAACGTTTTCCCCTGTGTGCGCCAAACACACACAAGTCTGCCTGTTCGTCTTCGTCTCGCTATAGTCTTTTAATGATGTGCAAAAAATCATTTGTCGTTTTGAGGGCTCCACATTAATCAGAGTTGCGGTACAGTATTTTCATGTTGATATGTACTTCATGTTTTCTAGCCATATCTGAGTTGTTGAGCTGTGGAACAGTTGGATAAGATCTTGGCCACTGTGCCTTCTAGGAGTCAGTCTTAAGTACCACAAATGCGAAATTGTCATTTTAGAATGGCAGCAGTGCACTTCTTGAGGCTTGTGGACATAGTTGGGTGTTAATCCATGATTAACGTTACAGCCTCCACCCAACTGTTGCTCTTCCATAAACTCCAGCGCTGCACACCAACCCTTAGCATTCTTCAAAGCTAAGGCCATTCTGTGTCGCTTCCAGAGACTAGGAAAATCCACCATTGTCTGGTTGGTTTCCCCATTATGAATAGCCGGCGCTTCAGCCCGTTATGATTCCAACAAAATGTTTTGCGTTGTGGAGCTCGTCATGTTCGCCCCTTCTGATTCCATCTGAGAGCAAATGTTTATCATACAGATTAAAAGTAGGAAAACAACAACTAGGTCATCAAACACACCCAGAATTCCACAAAGAGGTTCTGGCATCAGATCCAACGAAGAAGTCAAGCACATGAAGGTTCCAAAACAACAGATGACAACTCTGAGGAAGAAGATCCACACCAAACCGCCCAGTGTGAAGATCCCTCGTACGGCCAGGTTGATGAGAAGCGGCATGTCATAAAGATAATCTGTGAACTGGACATAAAATTTGGGTAAGGTATGAAACTCTTTATTTTTCATGCTGCTGTTTTGGATTTGTTAAGTAAGAAGACGAGAATTACAGGGATGACTAAAAATCTGCCAGCAACAATCCTCCTTCCTCCTTTTTTCCTAATCACCATCCAGTAGTGATTCTTTCCTTATTGCCCCATTAAAAATACATGTTTTGCATTGTGCAGATTTGGCTAATGAGAATACTGGGTGCCACTTTTAAGAAGTTGGTTCGTTTTATGTGGAGTGCACACTCAAACAGGAAACCCAGGCTGTCTACACACTCCCATTTATTCTGTGTTCAGTCCACTCCTATTGCTGGTTTGGGAAGCTCAGTGTATGCTCAGTGTTTGGTATAATCCATAGCTATTCTGTATCTACCTTGTTGTCTCTTGTGAAATACTTCGTTCTAGCATGTATTTCCCCAAACCAGCTTCGATCTGAATTTAGAAAGACAACAACCTTAGCTGCGTTTTAAGCCAGGAATGTCTAAAAGTTGCTACTTACAGGCCTAGGCTGTCCTGAGAAACGTTTGTTGTAATCTCTGATGTCATACACAGTTTGTTTGCTCGGCTTGTCGGGCTGATTTTCACAAGGCATGTTGTACAAAAGAATGACCTTCAGGTAAAAAAGAAAAAAGCATGAAGCGTCTCTTTAGATTAGAACTAAAAGACAAATCAGTCCTGTTTTATGCTTTTAATAAGCCTTTTGTTATTATGTCTTTGACCCCTGACTCATAGACTTTGTCCTCCAGTGGGTAAATTTCTTCCCCGGCAGGCAGCCTTCCTTATTCTGCTACCTTTGCGCATTGTGCCAAGGTAGGCAGCTAGTGGCCAAGATCAGAGGAGCATAAGGAGTTCATCTTGGGTGAGCTGAACGCAATGCAAGAAGCCAGCCAGCTGTAATAAAAAGCCTGCTGTAAGCGCATTGTTTAATATTTGATAGGTGTTCCCTGATTTGACAGGCATCAAATGAGAGATGCAGATGTTTTGTAGTAGCCTGCAAATTTATAAGGATAATTCCTGGTACATATTTCCACCTCCTCTTGTGACTGTCAAAGAGCAGATGATCACAAGAGAAAACTCTTACTTTCTGTCTGCAGAGTGGGCAGCTGATTGCTTCTAGCCAAGGTCCATGTTTCCAGTATTCAATCAGACAGGAACCTAAAAGAAGAAAAGAAAGAAAAAGTAGTATTGTAAGAGCTGAAAACCTGCATAGCACGAAGATTCCTTCATCACCCCTTAATCCCTTTGTCACCATGATCTAGTTCCCACACTGAGATTACATTTCTACCTAAAAACTATTGGAAAGGGGGGAAAACCCAGGCTGCTCAGTGTTTAGGGACACTGCTGGGGACAGCGACAGAACCAGATGCTGTCAGAGTTATTTGCCACCCAGGTGTGACCTACTTTCAGTAAAATGTGAGTGAAAATATGGTGTGTACAGTGGTACCTTGGGTTACATACGCTTCAGGTTACAGGCGCTTCATGTTACAGACTCCGCTAACCCAGAAATAGTACCTTGGGTTAAGAACTTTGCTTCAGGATGAGAAGAGAAATCGTGCTCCGGCAGCGCGGCGGCAGCAGGAGGCCCCATTAGCTAAAGTGGTGCTTCAGGTTAAGAACAGTTTCAGGTTAAGAACGGACCTCCGGAACGATTTCAGTACTTAACCCTAGGTACCACTGTAGTTGATTGCAGAAAATTAGCAACATTTAAAACCTTGATCCTACAGGATGTTGTTGTGTTTTTTTCAAAGCCTTCACCAACTCCGTCCCTGAAATTATTCTGATAGCTCAGGTGACAGAGCATAAGACTCTTAATCCCAGGGTTGTGGGGTCAAGCCCCACATACGGCAAAAGATTCCTGCATTGCAGGGATTGCACTAGATGACCCTCGTGGTCCATTCCCACTCCATGATTCTTTGATTTGACAATACATGTGGTTTTCTCACAGCTGTTCTGATATGGGCAGAAAAGGTCAGATAAAAATTGTTATGTACTGAGTTGAATAGGATTCATAATGAAGCAGTCTGGTTGGCCCTAGAACAATAGGATCTAGAATGCAGCAGTCTGATTGGTCCACAAGAGCCACCCAATCCAGCTCCAGGTAGAAGTGAATCCACAACCTGATTGGCCTACAGGAGAATCCCAGAATTAGCCAATCACGTGGGGCCCAATGTGTAAATAATGTATATAAATTCCTCCTCACCACTATGAGCTGAATAAAGAGCATGAAATCCACTTTCGACTCCCAGTATATTTCAAAAATTAATGCAGCTGCATACACCGTGGGATACTCCCAATATCAGGGACATGGGTGGGGGTGATCCCGGGGCCCCTGGATCTCCTACCCCTTTCTCCGTTCCTAGCCATTTTTTTGTTTCCAGGGTGGCTGGGCACAATGTGGAGAACAGTGCCAGCAAGACCCCAGGCACACACCGCCTCTTGCTTCACAGCAGCGGTGCCCAGAGTCTTATAAGCACCTACCAGCAGCCCTGTTCAATAGACTGAAGCTTTAATGAATCATGCTAGAGATCCATATGGGTCAACTATACTGCTTGCAACCATATTATAGGCACATATGCAGATCTCAAAACAGAATCATACCAGCTTTTCAAAGCACTTAAAAATAATGTTTTGTAAATCATTTTCCTCTGTTGACTCATTTGCAGTGACAAAGCAGGGAGGAAGGGCGGGTCTCCCCCCCCCTTTTTTCCATGCTATTTCTGTATATATATCCACATTTTCAGAACTGACCTCAAATCTACTTTTAATCCAGGAAGCTGCAGAGTTTTGTGAGCCCCCGCCCCCCAAGAAACACTCTGTTGGCTATTAGCAATTAGAGAAAAATAATATTGGCCCAGGATCAACTTTCTACCCCATTTCCTGGACATATGGTTCGAGATATAGGTGAAATTTGAAACATCTTGGAAGAAATATAGGAATTCCTGACGATAATACAGACTAACGATAATACATTCCCCCCTATAAGTCATAGCCGATCATCATTTAAAGCCATCAAATAACAATATGAGTTTTAGATATGACACTTGCCCACCTTTGCTCTTCTTGGTGCCAAATTGAATTAAAAATATAGGTTTCAAATAAAATGTTTTGAGACATAGGAAAACATAGCCAATCCAAAACATGTCTATGTCTATATATTTCATTTTAATTATTTACTTAAAGTGTTCAGCACTGGGTTGGGCAGGGGGACGAATGCTCATTTATTTATTTATTTGTGAGAGCATTCCTATACTGCTTTTCAGCCCTGAATAAAGGCCCCTAACACATTTTACAATACTATAAAGCAACACAACCATTAAATAATTCGAATTATTACAAGCACAATTTTAGCAAATATTAAAAGTGGTGTGGAGTGCCTTCCATCAGCTTTAGCCGGTGGCCCAGCTATGCCTCTACCTGGACAAGGGATAGCCTAACCTCTGTTGTCTATGCTCTGGTAACCTCTAGGCTTGATTACTGCAATGCGTTATACGCTGCCTCTGAAGATGGTTCGGAAACTTCAGCTGGTGAAGAATTCGGCAGCCATGTTGCTCACCAGGGCAAGATGGTTTGAACATATTACACTGATCCTGGCTGGATTGCACATCTTGCCAATTCGATTTTAACCTACAGGCAGGTTAATATGAGAGAAGGCAGTTCTTCAGATAACCTGGTCCTAAATAACTTAGGGCCTATAACTTACCTATAAAGAACCAAGACCTTGAAATGAGCACATGAATGAACCTAAAGCCAGAACAATTGATGTAAGACTGGCATATTGTGATCTGCAAAGTGCAGACGATAGTATTCTGCCTGTTGCATTTTGCACCAGCTGCAGTTTCCAAGCCCTCTTCAAGGGCAGACCCACAGAAAGCATGTTGCAGTAGTCTAACCTAGACTTGACCAATGTACGTGTCACTGTGGCCACTCTGAAAAAGGAGTCAAGGAAAACCCTTGAGATTATTTATTGATCCTATCTCTTCTTGGTACTGTATATATTGACTCGCTTGCTAGAACAATCTGGACTTGCTATAGCAAATTAGTCTTTGGGGTGGGAGTTTCCACTATTGGACACTTAACTCATTTCTGCTTTTTACTTGTGGCACACTAACATCAGAATGAAGAGTGTAAGGGAAGAGGAAGTGGTTCCTGTGCGGGTGTGATTAAATGCATGAAGGATCTTGTTTTACAGCAAAGGGTTTAATCAGATTATATCAGAACCCTTTTCTGGCTTTGTGAGGCAGATATACTGCATGCAGATGGGTTGCAATATGATTCAGATAGGCATAGTGTCATTTGGGGGCAAACGCTGTATAAATGTGGGGCAGTGAGAGTAATATACTTTTTAAAAAAACATTTTGTAGAGCTATTTATTGGAGATTGGCTGGTGTCTCAGATTCAGTCATCATTAAGAGCTGCCTGATCTGAAAATCATTAATTTTTGTTCTATGGCTAGAGTTATAGATGGTGCCGTGGCTTAAGAATGAAGGACAATTGTGACAAAGAACTTTTCCAAATTGTTGTCGTCTCATGTAATTAAATGCTCATTTGTTGCTGTAGGTTCCAAGTCTGTCATTTGTTGTGGATATCTGACTTTTCCTAGACCTTCTATATTTTACATCTAGTAAAAAGCTGTGTTTTCCTCCCAGCTAGAAATCCCAGTTAAATTAAGACACCTTTGTGAGAATCACATGATATAGAAGAAAAGCAGACCAGTGCGTTGAACCTCTGAAATCTATAATACAGTTGACTGTATTTGTACAGAACAAGCATTTCATTATCCCTCCCTGGAAGAAGTCTGAGTTTAATGTGATGCTATTGTTAATCTTTCCATTAAGTCCTTAATCTTTTTCTCGTTTTCTTTTTTTTAAGAAGGGCTCCAGTGAAAAGCACTGGAGCAAGCACCTTTTATCTGCAGGAATAAGTGTTTTCCTTAAAACTCCAATGACTACAGCTTCAATCCAGCTGTGAGGAAAGCATGAGGCTGGAGATTATTCCTTTAAGAGTAGCCTCACACATTGTGGGAGTAAACAGGGCCTCCTAACCTTGACCTGTCTCGCCCATGGCAGTTCCAGCTATGTCACAGACTTATGGCTCCCCCACTTTAGCTGCTAAAACAACAGAGAGAGGCTTATGCTGCAGTGGTAAAGTGCAACAGAGATGGGCAGTTCTCTTCCACTTCACATTCCTTTTTAAAAAAAAAAAATGATACACCAAAAAAAGGGGGGAAATTACAAATAAAAACAGTGATAAATATATTAATTACAAATCAATAAAGCAAAAAGTGGTCCTTAGACTATAGACCTGACCTCCCGTCCATTCCTTACTTCAATTATATATTATTTGTTGCCAACACACACTTTTCTCTTAAATTTAACTAATTATTGGTTTATCTTAAGTTTCATATCTTTCTTAAAGCTACTCCTAAAATTATTCAAATGCTGTGACAGAGTTTAAACTGCTGTAATTGTTTTTCAAATAAACTTTGAAGTCTTCCCATTTTGAGATAAATTCCTGTTTTGGTTTGCTCTTTATTTTTTCTGATAAACTGTCTAACTCCACATAATCTGTTCGCTTTTGGAACCATTCATGAATAGAGGGGATTTCATCACTCTTCCATTTTGTAGCGATAAGAACTCTTGCTGCCTCTTCCACTTCACATTCCAAAAGGCCTGGAGTTCCCACTGTTACCTTACAGTAGTTTACTGGTACTGCCCTGCAGTGGTCCTGGAGGGATGGGACTTGACTGAGAACCCTTACGACATGGTGCAAGAAATAGCTGTGGTCTAAAATGCTAGTAGCATGGTGCAGTGGTGCTTTAAAACAGTAATATTGCTGGCTGCTGTTGTCCTAGCACAGGAAATGAGGCAGTGGCAGCCATCAACATCCCTATGTTGCAGCAGTTCCAGCTCAGTCACTCAAGCTTTTTGGAGTTGGTATGAGGTTTCATCTTGCTCTGGCACTTGAAACCTTGTGCCTGGTTTTATACCAGGAATGGGAGCAGCGGGGACAGACCTCTTGGGCTTTGCCAGATGCTGTTGGACTACAGTTCTCACTTCCCCTGGTCATTGGTTAAGCTGACTGGAGTTCCCAATGGAGACATGGAGTCCCACAACTTCTGGAGAACCACAGGTTCCTCAGCCCCATCTTTGCTGTAAGGTCTGCTCTGATACTGTTTTCTATTGAGCAGACTGTAACAGGCAACCTTATGTATATTTACTATAGTATTTACTTCCCCAGAAACAAACTCCTGGTGGAGTTTGGGAATCATACGTTAAGTCCACAGATATTGTAGCATCGATACTGTTAACGGTACCAGAATACCACTGGTGGTTGTTTCTCTGTGATGCTCCCATGATGGGGAGAATGCAGTCGCCATCTTTGGGGTGGCAGTTGGAGAAATTGATACGCAAGTCCTCAAAACATCATGTTATTGCAGATCCCTCAAAAACCAGTGTGAATTATCAAATATATTTGGGGTGGGGGAAGGGGAGTTAATTTTAAAGTGGGTGTTGCCTTTTGCACCCTGAGCTTGGAGTTGGGATTCTGAAGAGGAAAAATTGAACGTGTGGGTGAAATCCAGGATATTTTATATTTAAGGTATAAGGAGTTGTGGGATACGTAGCACTAAATGTGTTGCCTATTCCCGTTTTGTTTTGTTAGTTGTTACCTATCAGTTTTCCAACTAATAATACGTCCTTTTGAGTTACTGGGCCCTCAATTCAAAAACTTGCTATTAGGTTAGGATAATGGTTTTGACTGCAAGTTGCTTTCGTTCTCTTTTGCTATAGCTGCTGTTTCTTTTGGCGTTTTGCCCACGCCGTCAACTCCATTGGAGCTACTAAGTACAGAGCTGATACTCAGGGGCTCAGAAGTATCCAGTTCCTGTTTATTGTCGACAAGCCTTCCTGGCTATCATAGAACTTCTTGATGCATCATTAGTAGGTACTATAGCAATGGATGAAGGGAAGTTGTTGCTGCATCTTATTTAAATACAATAAAGGACAAAAATTGTTGTGTGTGTAATCACACCGGACATCAAGGTTAGCAAAAGCATTTTTCAGAACTAGATCATTCACCAGTGAAAGTAATTCCTTATCTTTAAGGAAATGAAGGTGGGGCCTGTCAGTTCTCTCCCTCTCTCCCTCTCTTTCTCTGAAGAGCCTCTCTTTCCTTGGCTAGGATAAAGAGGACCAGATGTAGTGGGGGGAAATGTAGCTTGTATAGTTTCATACCTGGATGTGTAAGCCATTGGGCAAGTTTTGAGCGTTAAGTGGAAGAGACGTCTGTGGGTGGAACAGTGTCTCTAGGTGCAGTCTGGGGGTTTTTTGTTTGCAAGGAAAATACCAATTCTGCATGAGGACCTGTAGGAGCACTGGGCCTTACCGTCCTGTTGTCAAAATATTGAAAACCTTATTTTGTTAAATATATATTTTTACAGCAAAGAAAGCAGTATTTATTAAGTGGGATCAAATTAATCCATTTGAATTAATTTATTTAGTGGGAAATTTCCTACTGCCTCTTCTACATTTTTTTCTTTAAAGCCTGTCTGCACAAAAGATATGTAGAATCAGGCAAATAAACAAGATTGAATTGGATCTAGACTAAATTAGTTGAACATGGCTCCCATTGAAATCAGTTGTACTTAAGTTATTATTTCAGTTGGAACTAAGTTCAAGTAACATACAGTGCAATCCCATGGCTGCTTACTCAGAAACAAGTCTTGCTGAGTTCAAAGGGTCTCTTACTCAGTGGTAAGTGTGGATAAGATTGCAACCTGAGTCTGGAGCCAATCCATTGTCTTTTATATTCCCTTGTCCTTTTATAGTTATGTGCAATGTGAAGGCAGCTATAGGTTTATAAAATGAATATATGTGTGGGGAAAATAATGATCCTATTTACTTACCACAAAATAAATGTCCACAGTTGGTTTCTACGGGGCAAGTAGTAGCCTGGAGGCAGATTGGGCAGCTTACCTCACTGCGGTAACATCGCTGCCACTGTCTAAGAGATTCCTATGGAAAAAGAGAGAGAGAGAGATGTCTTTTTAAAGGGAATACTTTACTCAGTGTGGATATGTTTTTAGAGAGATAAGAGACAGAGATGTAAACTCCAGTTGATTCATAAATTGTCTTTAAAAAAACAAAAACCTCTGGAGAACTAAAATTGCCCTGCACAAACAATCACTATCTTGTTCTTTATTTACAACTTTTGTGCAACTCAGCAACTCAGGCCAGGAATGGGGAACCAGTGGGTCTTCCAGCAGCCAGCTCCCATCAGCCCCAGCTAGCATGGCTAATGGTCTGGGATGAATGTATTCTAGCAACAAATGGAGGGCCACAGGTTCCCCACCCCTGTAGGTTTCCTCTGTAAACCTCTTACCTAAAATAAGATGTCCACATGTTAACAAAAAGTCTCCAATGTGCATAAAATTCGCAGGGGCCAATTTTTATGTGAGGATGCAAACCTAGAACTGCTTTAATTTAAATAGAAATACAACACATTTCATTATAAGGGTGGGAAGACTGTGACAGGGTGACCTATGTGCCTGCTGAGTTTTCTGTCCAGGTGTTAAAAACAGTTGGTGAGCAACTTCCTGGCCCTACTCTCCCCCCATATGGCTCTTTCTTTTTGAAGCAGGCTTGGACTAGACCAAGATGTTTTTGACCTACAACTCCCATGATCCCTAGCTAGCAGGACCAGTGGTCAGGGATGATGGGAATTGTAGTCTCAAAACATCTGGAGGGCCAAGGTTGAGGATGCCTGTACTAGACAGCCCTTCAAACAGAGGAATCCTGCATGCCTAGATAGCTCAGCTGGTTAAAGTGTGGTCTGATAATGCCAAGGTTGCAGGTTTGATCCCCGTATGGGACAGCTGCATATCCCTGCATTGCAGGGGGTTGAGCTAGATGATCCTCAGGGTCCCTTCCAACTCCATGATTCCTCTCTAAAGTAGGACACATGGCTACCCTATATCAGAATACCAAAAAACAAAAAAGCTTTTGTTGTGTGGCAAGTCCATATGCTGTCAAGACAGGAAAACCTGATTAATGAAGTCATTCTGTTCCTATAAATTCAGCATATCATGTGTCAAGCCTCTGTTTTGAAAAGTAATCCCGCTTTTTGTTTTCTAAGTTTCATATCTTACAAAAGTAGGAAATGGAGTATGTTTCTAATTAGGTTGTGAGGAACCTGGACCAAGAAAATCCAGCTGTTGCAGAGAGTAGGGGAAGTCTGAAAAGCTTTACTGACACCCGTGACCCTGGCACATATCAAACTTCTTTTGTGTTTTTCATACTGTATTTTAAAGAGTTGCAGATCTGTAAACTTACTAAGTGGTTTCTCGTGGACAAATGGGGAAAACTCTTTTCCAGCAGACTCATCTCTTGACTTAAATGAAGAAATCTGTAAAAAGATTTTTTTTTAAAAAAAAATGTTTATAAAACTTTAGATGGGGTAATATGCCGTAGAGAGAAACTGAGTAAAGATACATAGAACAAGTAAGCATATCAAATTTCTAGGGCAGCCTGCCAATCCATGCCGCCCCAAAAGAGGGTGTTCCTCAGTTTTAATAGTGTGATGCTTTCTCTTCTTCCTTCCTTACCCCCAAATTATTTGTCCTTTAGATTTAAACTTTACAAACATTGCTTCAGGTAATACCTTTATCTATTCCCATATGCCTTCAGCCTAGGTGTTTTAGTCAGCTGCTAATTAAGTCACCCTCAGTAAATATGTAATGCAGACAAGCCCACAAGTGTCATAAAAGGTATCACATTGTGCCTTACATGATCGTTAACACTGTTATATTCTTGCCTTAAATCATATTAAACTGGTGCTGATAAATCCAGTGATCTCGTAAAACCAGAGGCAGCAGTAAGCATACAGAGCTTTTCTATTGGGGAGCATTTCCCCATTCATTCCAATGGCAAGGGGCAGGCATCCCACATGCACAGTCTTCCAGCACACATGGGGCTGTCCCATTCACCGAAGTGAATGGGGAAGCTTACAGTTTCCTGGAGTTCCATGAGTGCATATTATTTTCAAGTTCTTGTTTAGGTACCAACAATGCAAAACAAACATTTAAGTGGGCAGTTTTCAAAGTAACAACAATCCCCCGCTTTCTCCAGAATCCGTAAAACATGTATTTCAGCATAAAGGTAAAGGTATCCCTGCCCGTATGGGCCAGTCGTGACTGACTCTAGGGTTGTGCACCCATCTCACTTAAGAGGCCGGGAGCCGGCGCCGTCCGAAGACACTTCCGGGTCATGTGGCCATCATGACGAAGCTGCACTGGTGAGCCAGCACCAGTGCCGCATACGGAAATGCCGTTTACCTTCCCGCTATAAAGCGCTACCTATTTATATACTTGCACTTAGGGGTGCTTTCGAACTGCTAGGTGGGCAGGAGCTGGGACCGAACGACGGGAGCTCACCCCGCCGCAGGGATTCTAACCGCCGACCTTACGATCAGCAAGTCCTAGGCACTGAGGTTTTACCCACAGCGCCACCCGCGTCCCTGTATTTCAGCATAGTCTCCGCTAAGTTGCCGCCATTAAGTTTTGTTTAAACTAGACACAAGCTGTGTGTGTATGTGTCTAAAAATTAGAAAACACCTCAAGGGTTTTTCTTCTCTTTTTTGCTTTTTAGCATTTATCCCCTTGGCATGGTTAACCAGAATTTTTTGTCTCGATCAAAGTGAAGGTCATCAACTAAAACATCTCTTCAATTTGGAATGAAGCAATGTCCAGACTGAATCCCAGCAGAGCCTGCAGCCCTGGGCATATTTCAAAATTGCAAGAGTCTGTGGATATTTGGAGCCCCAGTCAGCACACACAGAACAGGTCAAAAGAAGCTGTTTCCTTATCTTTGACCTGAGACCCCATTTGTAGTTTAAGTGACTGTTGGTTTTTTTAAAAAGCAACAGAGCTGCCCACTGTTTATCTTGAACTAAGTCCAGCATCTCAAAAAGGTTATAAAAAGAAACGAGCATCGCACAAGAGATAGAGTTTCATTTACGCATGTGTATGCTTTTTGAATTCTTATATTTAAACCTCCCTGCAGCTGCATGCTGAGCTCTAATATTAAAACCCAACGCTAATATCGCCCCACTGCCAGTTAGCTGCTTTTATCTGGATATCGCAATAACACATGTGTTTAATTAATTCAGCTTGTTCATTTAAATTCTAGCTAATGGTTTCTGTTAATAATAAAACAGAAAAGAGTTTTAGGGAGGAAAGTGGATTATGTTTTGCCTAAATGGTGAATTTGCCATTTGATCAAACTGGCAGGCAAATGTTTGTTTAAAACAAGATTCCACAGCCTTTTGAGCATAAAAACTTACTAATATATATATATATATACACAAAATACAGTATCACAAAATATTCCTACAGTTAAAAACCACTAAAGAAGGGTCAGTGTCAGTACACCCTTTAACAATTAAAATACCGCTACATGTTGGGGAAAGGAATCTCATGTTAACCTTGCAGTGAATGAACTGTCACTTGGCAGTTTGTTCTGCGAGGTGAGTTCCTCTGTAGCCAGTGCTGCCCGCCTCTCTTCAAAAGGTAAGGGCCCTCAGAACAAGGCCTCAAGGTTTTAAGAAGTCAACCCTCACATTTGGAATTGAGGCATATTGGAAATTCCACCTCTGGTGATTTTTTTCTTGGGGGCGAGAAAACTTTGGCTTTTTCTTCGAGAGACTGAGCCCCGCAAGGTCTCCTCCATGTCACTTGGACAGTTCCTTTTGGAAACTAGGTCAGAGATAAATTACTATTCTTTAGTAGAAGAAAGTGTCTCCTCCATGGTGGCACAGTTGCTGCCAGCCTTCCCCATTGGTTGTTGCCCACAGCCTCCCCCATTGGCTGCAACCCTCTGTGTGCCCTGGAAAGGTACTCAGGGTTGAGGGACACCCCGCTCGCCAGGACAGTATGGGCTATGATGCAAAAGGCTACAATAGATAGGGGCAAATCTGCAAAAATCACATGCTCTGCCTGCTCTGAATGGAAGTGCCATCTGCTATCACAAATCAACCGCTGGATACCACCTATAGCTGTCAACTTTCAGATTTGAAAATAAGGGATCAGCAGCCTCACCTGTCCAGGGGACAGTCTACGGGATATCTAACAATCTGGGATAGCAGCGGGAAACAGCACTGGAATAAGGGAATTTCCCGCAAAAAAAGGGAAGGTTGACAGCTATGATGCCACCCTTTGTATAGTAAGTTAAAGGTAAAGGTAAAGGTAAAGGTAAAGGTACCCCTGCCCGTACGGGCCAGTCTTGACAGACTCTGGGGTTGTGCGCCCATCTCACTCAAGAGGCCGGGGGCCAGCGCTGTCTGGAGACACTTCCGGGTCACGTGGCCAGCGTGACAAACTGCATCTGGTGAGCCAGCGCAGCACACGGAAACGTCGTTTACCTTCCCGCCAGTAAGCGGTCCCTATTTATCTACTTGCACCCGGGGGTGCTTTCAAACTGCTAGGTTGGCAGGCGCTGGGACCGAGCAGCGGGAGCGCACCCCGCCGCAGGGATTCGAACCGCCGACCTTTCGATCGGCAAGCCCTAGGCGCTGAGGCTTTTACCCACAGCGCCACCCGCGTCCCCATAGTAAGTTAGTTTTAGCAAAATGATTACATCATTATGCTGCTTTGTACAATGCTTTCTTGCTTTAGTTTGACAAATGAAGAGAATTCTGTTGATTATATTGTTTTGTTTTAATGCATCAGTTCATGCACTAGTGATTAATGACTGCAATAACTAATATAAGGCTAACATGGAAACAGTGAAAAAGCATTCTGGTGAGTCAAAAGAGGTGGAAATATTTATTATTATTTCCAGTTTAAATCTACGGCCATGTTTTTAATGCGACTTATTTATGATCCTACAAAAATCACATTCCAGCCCACCCATCAGAGTATCTTACCTGATCTCAGAAGATTTGTACAGTGAACCATGCACCATCCTCACTTCATCCGAAGCCTCTTTAAAAGCCTGTGGCTTCCTCTCTGCGCTTGGCTGACAGCAGTGTGTTGTGAAGCAGAGTCTCAGCCCACACTCCATTAAAGCAGGCCATTCATTCCAGTTAATAATTAATTGGCTTCACTAATGTCAAGGTTTTGCCAGGGTTTCTAAATACTAGTGGAGGGAACCATCTCTTTCCAGATTTGCTAAAAGAGGGATTTTACAGAAAGAAGAGCCTTTACCTTAATGCCGTGAGTGACTCTAGCAAAATGACAAGATCTCAAGAAGTAACTATTTTCAGCTATGAGGCTTCTTAAGGACACATTCCGCATATTTGATGGTGAAGCGATTGAAGCATGCCATTACCGGTACAGATAAGAAATTAGTAAAAGTAAAGCAGTAAAATGAGCCAGCCAAGAAAGCTGAAATGCACATTAATAAAGCTATAAAGGCTAGTTAGGAGTGAGGAGGGAAATATACAAAAGTTTTATCAGGCAGTACTGTATTAATATGCAAGGCTAAGTGGGGATAGGAAGATGTGGATTATAAAGTACTAGATATGATCAGCATGAATTCCTTTGATCTTTGCTTGCTAATAGTTAGACAAATAATCACATTTTAACACAGCAGGAAATTTTAACCCTAAGCAATCCAGCTAATAGTAGTATCACTGAGCTCAGTTCTTAGAAGATACAGCCTAAAGTTGGCCCATGGACTAATCCTGGCCGCAGATGCTCCAGATTATGTGAGCTTAGATTTATGTGCAGTGGACCAGGGAAACAATGGCTGCTAGCTGACATGAAAAAAGTGCAAAAGAATAGGTGGGGTTTTTCCATAGACCATACTTTCCTCCCCCAATTTTCTCATGAATTGGACACTATATGAACTTCTGTAACTGACTTTTGTCATCAGTTATATGGCGTTATACTCCAATATGCTTCAAAATGATTAGATCTAATATTCTATGTTAAATATCATGTAAGAAAAAGTTGGGGTGGAAAGGGTAAGCAACAATGAGTTGAGCAAGGCATAAAAGTGAGTACATGACATAGGTCTCATCTACATTTCCTCTTGCCCTGCTGCTTTTCCCTGGAGAAAACTGCTCTTTAGCACTCAATTGGAGCAAATGGCAGTTCGGGTTTTCTCTGCATTGACAATTGATTTGACATGAAATGGTGGGTTTTCCCTGGGAAAGAACAGAGCAAGGGGGAAACTGAGCTTTCTAGTCATGGGACAAACAGAAGTGTAGACGAGCCCAAAGATATATTATTCTAGATCGTGTTGTCGTTCTGTTTCCTACTGCAAACAAGTGTAATAATTGAGCATGGTCCTGCTCTTTTAGTAAAGGGTAAAATTGAAGAATTTCCATAATAAAGCTTTAAAGGAATTCTGGGTTTGTATTGAGAAGATACTTCTACCTAGGCACATGATCTTGTTCCATTGCGAGAAGTGTAAATGGAGACTGTTGACTATTTGCATGCATGGGCAGGCCAAATAGTGTTTGCAAGAGTGTGAAAGCTTGGCTTTTAGAGCAGCTATTAACCTATTTCCTATGCAGGAGCAAACCATGACACCAGCTGTCAACGGAAGGGCAAGAATGAAACATACCAAACCAGTTAACTTTGACTTGGAGGAGAGGAAACTTTTCCTTACTCCAAATTTAGCAAACAAACTCCTTTCCATTCAAGAACTTAAACATGCCTTTCCTGGACATCAGTGCTATGAGTAGACTTCTTGCCGTTGCCTTCAAAAAATAGAGGCAGTGTGGCACAGAAATATGAAATGCTAATGTAATTCCAACACTGTGCTGATGGGATTGCTTTACATACCATATTCTGGAATATTTGAGTAGCAGACTACCAAGTTTCACTTGGAGCAGGTCTGCTGGTAGGAATTCAACATACAGCTAAGCAGATCCCTCCATAAGCACAAGCATTCCTACTTGTCTGATGAAACAATCAGCTCTTTACTCACCCTGCATGCTCTTCTGGGGGTTCTGCAAACCCCCATGAGCCTGTTTTATGTGTGTGTGTGTGTGTGTGTGTGTGCGCGCGCAGGGGACAGAGAGTGAGGGAAAGCTCCATTGCGCTAGCAGAAGCCTTTGTGCAGGTTCCCACTGGTGGGGCTCATTCAATGAATCACCTCCCCCTAAAATTAATAAACATGATTCAGTTAGGTCCCTTAATTTATTAGGTCTGCTCTTAGTTGAATACCACCCATTAGATCCAACTCTCACTAGGAAACAAAATACAATAGAGAGGCAACAGAGCAGGGTTGGTGCAAAGCTGACATTCCACCACTTTACACCAAACTATCCAAGCAGAGGGATGCGGGTGGCGCTGTGGGTTAAACCACAGAGCCTAGGACTTGCCGATCAAAAGGTCGGAGGTTCGAATCCCCGCTCCCGTTGCTCGGTCCCTGCTCCGGCTAACCTAGCAGTTTGAAAGCACGTCAAAGTGCAAGTAGATAAATAGGTACCGCTCTGGTGAGAAGGTAAACGGCATTTCCGTGCGCTGCTCTAGTTCGCCAGAAGCGGCTTTGTCATGCTGGCCACATGACCCAGAAGCTGTACGCCGGCTCCCTCAGCCAATAAAGCGAGATGAGCGCTGCAACCCCAGAGTCGGCCACGACTGGACCTAATGGTCAGGGGTCCCTTTACCTTTACTTTTATCCAAGCAGAAGAGCCCCTGGCATTTCCTTTTGAGGCCCCTGTACAGTTTCTTTAATGGTGTATCATCACAGTGGTAAAGCAGATCTGACGATTGGGTGACTACAAAGCTTCAGTGCAAAGGAGGGATTCAAAATACTGAGAGTTGCGTGGGAATTTGGAGAAGTCAGCGGAAGTAAGCTACAGATGGTGTTTAATCGGCCAAACTCAGTTTTGCTCTGACCTTGGTCTGGTCCTTTAAAAAAAGCCTCCAAGTACCAAAATAGAAATGCATATATAAATAGAAAGTGTAAACACACAAAAACTGCCTTAAAATAGAAAAGCATAGATAGCGGGTGCACGAGAAAAAGAGCATGATTAAATTGTGTGTACACATGCTGAGGCACAGTTCCAGCAGAAACAGAGCACTTTGCATTGGACCAGACTGTTGCATTTTACACACACACACACACACACACACACCTACCTAACCTATGTAGATGATTTTCTTTAGAAGTTAATCATTTGCGCTACTGCCAGATCTTGACAGGTCAAAATGTGCTAACTTGAAAACCAGCTGACACCATTGGTACAATAATTATTTGCTTGGGAGCAATCAAACTCAAAACACCATGTATATACAAAGCTCTGAGGACAAGAGAAGCTACCAATTCCCCCCCCCCCAAGGCAATGTATGCACCATGGGATGCATACCTACAGTTTCTCCCCTCCATTGGAGTGTTGCATATGGGGGGAATGAATTTAGATTAGGAAAGCATGCCATTTCCTTTGGTGGGTAAACAGAGCCTTAATCAGAATTTTATATGCATTTATTGTACAATTTGACATATGGTTGTAAATGGATCTTGATATTTTTTATGAATAGCGTTTTATACACACAGTGGTACCTCAGTTTTCGAACGCCTCCGTAGTCAAATGTTTCAGAACTCGAACACTGAAAACCCAGAAGTAAGTTCCTCGGTTTTCGAATGCGCATCGGAAGTTGAACAGGAAACCCAGCTTCTGTTTTGAGTTTTCCGTTTTGAGGCTTCCGCTTTCAGCTTTTGGTTTTCCAACATTTCGGAACTCGTAACGGATTTCTGGAACAGATTATGTTCAAAAACCAAAGTACCACTGTATTTTTATAAATAAATAATCCAAAGAGCTTTTGAAGATTTTTAAAATAAATATACAACATTATATGCATAAATGAACTATGCATGTCTGCATTTTTGAAGTGCTACACACAGTAATACACACACACACAGTGGTACCTCGGGTTACAAACACGAGGTTACAAACACTTCGGGTTACAGACTCCGCTAACCTGCAAGTAGTACCTCGGGTTAAGAACTTTACCTCAGGATGAGAACAGAAATCATGTGCCGGCGGCAGCGGGAGGCCCCATTAGCTAAAGTGGTAGCTCAGGTTAAGAACGTACCTCCGGAATGAATTAAGTTTGTAACACACTCTCTCTCTCTTTGGGGAATATGTATTCATGAGTGTCCCCCAACCTTCTGGATCAGTTTTGCAGGGGTGGGGCCACAGGGGAGAGGGAATTGGTTGTTCCACAGTCCACGGTTTCCATTCTGCTAGTGGGTATCATTCAGTATCATCCAGTAAGTGCTTAAATATATGTTGCAAGAAACAATACTAGATACATTCAAAATGTCTTGTAGGGTGCAATGAATATGCATGCAAATTATACGTTTAAAAGAAATGATTAAAATAAAAGCATTTCTGTGTCTTCGTTTGTACTTTTAAAATGTGGAGATGTAACCAAACATAGGAGCAAAATAAACACAGCAACATTTTCTGGCAGGTTCCCATTTCATATTTGAACAGAAATAATAAATAAGGAATTATTCGGTTGTTATTTTAAAGGGGCTTAAAGAGGCCATTTTGCTCTAGGTGGTTTGGGAGGACTGCTTTTGTGACCTGGGAGCATAAAATCAGGACTGAGAATTTCTTTTAAAAAGAAAAATCCATACTGAGCGTTCTAAAGATTACTGGAGAGGAGAGTGAAGTGTGGAATATCCTGTTCTGCAGAGCAGGACTTATATACTCTGTGATAGGCTTCCACACTTACATTTTAGGACCATTTTCTTTTTGGAAACTGGCTCACATCTGGGCTCTGTGAGACAACATCTCTCATATTGCTTGCAAACATTTAAAAAAGATGCAACTTTTTAGTCTTTTAGTCTTTCTTGCTCCTAAACTAGAAAGTTTCGTATATAGCTTTAGTATATTATATTGTATATTTATATTCGTATATAAACATACAAATATAAATAACTTATATCATTGATTCAGCTGCCATCAGTAATGAAAACTTTTCAGGTAAGACAAGCCAATCAGATCTAGATTCAGGATTAGCAAGGTAGGCTGGTTTACTAAAACTGTTAATGAAACCTCGTTTGTTCCAGATTAATTATTCTTAAATGATTTCCATCCTGCCGGGATTTGCATTTGCAACCATTGATGCAGCTTAAAAGGACTACTTAAACATGGCTGAATGAGTAGAAAACAACCATCTTTTACAAAAGCACAGCTGACAGTTTTTAATGGGTACTTAACCTACTCTGAGGAATCCTAAAAGCACACACGGAAAAGCCTGCAGATTATTTGCTTCTTCTATATTCATTGCGCAGGCAAATCTGTCAGTGGTGCTGGCTAGAATGTCCCCAACAGCAGGTCAGTAGGCTTCCTTAAAGACGCAGGGATATGACTAACAAAACACTCCATTTCTGCCAGAAAGTAAATTTAAAAATCTGTAGAAGATGAGAGAGGAAAGCATTCCTGTAAGTGGCAGCCAGGCATCTTGTGATTAAACTCCAGAGGCTGCCAAAAGTACAAACTTGTCCTTCCCTTGATTGGAACGTTAATGTAGGTCAAGGTATTTCTAATCTAGATTGGCACAAAATCTTAAATCTGCTGGTTGGCTATCACATGCATTGCATCACATGTGAAGAGCTTCTACTAATGTCCATGGCCAAGAAAACCTGCTGGCTTTTATATAAGTGGTTCCAGTTCTTTTCTCTCCCACTGACTCTCAGTAAGTCTTTGATGAACCAAATCCAGAGAGCATTACAGTGTCTTGGCTGCACTGCCCCCATGTGTAACAGAAGTAAGGGGGATAAAGCTCAGCCTTGCAGTCTGCCAAGTCACGAGGAACCATGGTGAGTCAGCAGTTTTATTCAGCCAAGCCTGCATGTGGAACTCACATGTATTTTATTGACATCACAAGGCAGCTATTATCTCTTCCAGCCAATTCACCACATTTGTTCAGATATTTATATCTAACTAGAAATACTTAAAATAATGACACTATCACCTTTTAGGGAAGGCTTTATAAATCATTATCCTCAAAAATCTTCAACAAATCATGGACAGATCGGTACTCAACCCTGGGAATCAACTGTTAATTTGTTGAGTTTTACCAAAAATAATAGTGGGTTAAAGCTTCTGTAGACCATGGTTTAAAATTACAGTTCTGAATCTATTAAACTGCCGGTTCTGAAGAACTGATATAACCACTTTTCAGCTTGCAGATTTCAGAACCACCCTAAACAGGAGGAAGGGCAAGGTGGAAGTAGAATAAATAAATGAGGGATATTTCACCCTTTGCACATTTTCTACATGGAAAGCATTTGTAGGTGGTCATATATTATAATCTACATGTCTGGTAAATTTCCATATGAGTGTATCTTACTAGTGCGAAGTTCGGCACAATGTGATACGTGAAGTATTGGGCTTCTCTGCGTCTCACTTAGCCAAGCTGCACAACCAGCAGCCACATGTCGTGTAACGCTTATGTAATGGCAATTCAGACAGCAAGTGGGAGAGCAAATGTACAGACAAAAGTTGTGTGTCTAGTGAGAAGGTTCTGGCCTTGCTCCCTGGCATGTTATAGGCAGGCATTGTTATATATTCAGTCCCCTCACCTGAAGATCTATCCCATTCATTTTAAATCTAAGCTAGCATAAATATGCCTCAGCTCA